GTACCTTTGGGGGGGGGGGGTACCATTGTAATCGCTTACTGGGGGGGGGGAGGTATGAGGAAAGAGGGCCAGTAGGAAGAAACCCGGCCTTTGTGGCTGGGAATTTCGGGCTTGGAGTGTGTAGGGGCTGGGGTTTGTATCTTGGCCTTTGAAGTTTGGGGGTTGAGGCCTCCAGGACCAAACCTTGGACCAATTAGGGTCCCTAAACTTACTGCGGAGTCGTAGGGAATAAGGGAATATGTCTTATAGTGATGATTCGGGGATTGTATTCCTTTCTTCCCTACTAAACACCAGTAAGCAAAATGCTGCATCTCCAACAAACAGCGGTACGCCGAGTAGCGCCAGATCCGCAACCCTAAACCCCCTTAAGGTGAAAGCCTTCAAGGGTTTAGGGTTCAGTTTTTCATTTCCCCAATAGAAGAAACAATCCTACATCAGCCTGGTTCCATGTTCCAACTGCTTGGGCCTTGGCTGACAAAAATTGAGCCCTGCCCTTATCGCTGAAGCCTAGCCCTATAAGTCTACAGGTACCTCTGAAATCCGTAAATTCTGAACCCTAGAAACCTTAAACCCTTTTCTACTCTTGTATCATTGCTAGTATTTGTTCTTTTACCAGTTTTTGTATTCTTGTTACTATTACTCATATTTGATGTAACACTCTTGTTGCTAGTGTATACTGATTTTCGGCCCCTACATGAATCCCCAAGCCCTAAACCCTACACCGCGTGAAAAAAACCCTCTAACCTTTGCAGCCCTTGCAACTCTGAAACTTCAACCTTCCCGGGACCTACCTTGGGGTTTCCCAAAAGAAGGGGTACCATTTTGGGAGTCCCAATAATAAGGACTATGGTATTTTGGAGTCTATATTGGGGTCCCCCTATTTTGGGAAACTACCACCTAGACCTCGCAAATACAGGTTTAGGGTTAGGAGGGTTTAGGGCATAGGGCACTGAGAAAACAATCATCTGTTGGAAAAGTTGGGGGGCTGCAGTTAAAAACCAGGGTCAATGGATGCGCGTTTGGCATTGCAGTCTGCGGGTTAGGGTTTAGGCGTAAGTTAAGTAACTCCTCCACCCATTAATGGCGACAACCAGGGAGAATGCAAACCACTTGCGGATCCCTACGCTCCTCACACCACCATCTTACCTTTCATCTGAGATCTGAACCAGCCAGAATTTAAACAACAGCAGTTTAAACACTCAGGTCGTGCTATGTATAGTTCAGACTGTAGGGGACTTCAATTTGTCATCGGGTTGTGTCTTGAAGACTTTCCTTCTCAGCAAAAGAGCTCTGAACTACCAGAGGCCAAGAGTCAGAATCGGGGTCCAAGTACTGGCCCTGCATTGTCTGCTTCCTCAGTTTGCTTTCATCTGACATCAAAGGCTCCCTTCTTGAGGGTGTGCTACTGTGGGCGAACAAGAAGCTTCGTCACCTGAGGTACACCGGTGTAGGGTTTAGGGTTAGCATGCTTGCTCCTAAGGTTTAAGTGTATGGGGTCATGCGGAATGCTGCCCGTCAACCAGACGCAAAAATACCACCAAGCTGCACCCTAGACCCAACTATCTAAACGCTTTCTAGGCCATGTGGTAGATTCCCTAAATAAAGGTACCCAATACAGACCCCCCAATGCTATAACCCCCATTACCATTAGGGACCCCCAAAAATGTACCCCTAATTTTTGAACACCCTAAAACGCTAAACCCAAAACCCTAAGGCGCCATTTTTGGAAACCCCATGCCAGGCTACCTTTCCAAAGGCCTGAGCAAAATCTCGTTTCTGGGTCTAGGGTTAGGGTTTGGGGTTTAGGGTCTGAGGTTTAGGGTTTTGAGAGTTTGAAAGACTTACCCTGGGACCACACACAGGGACTCCAACTGTTGATGCTGCAAACCCTGCATAACCTTAGGGTTTAGGGTTTAGAGTTTGACGTTCGGCAACTGAAACAGCATGTAATTCCCAGGATATGACGCAGGTGCGGAAGGAGCTGTTTATCATTAAAACATTGGCCACATGAGTAGTGTCTTTTTGGTGGTTGAACCTAGTAAGATAATATTCCTTATAGTAAATACTGAAACCCAAAAGGAGGATGTAATCTTACTCTATACTGGGTACCATAGTATCCTCAAATAAAATACTACTCACATGCAAACTACCACCCTCAGAATTCACGGTCCTCGCAAGCGTCTACCGAGGCCGCACATAGAACGAAAATGCAATTTGTCAGAGATAGGCTTCCTTTCTCATGTTGCTACTAAGAGCTACAGCGACCTCTACACTCGAGCATCTAGGGGAAGCAGAAGGGACCAATCACGAGGACCCTGGTACGCGGACTACTTGGCGGCTAGTTAGGAATATTGGGGCTAATGAAAGTGTCCCGAACAGAGTTCCCTCCAAAAAACCTTCAACATGGGGATTTAGGGTTTAGGGAGGGCATGAGCAGCCACCAATTACCAGCACCACTCTGATAAAATGCTAGGTTTGCTGTCTGGCTGTTTGAAAGACAATAAGCTTGGGTACTGCCTCTACTGAGTGGGGGCAGTACCCAACAATAAGTTTTTCTGACATGCTGGGCTTCTGCTCCCCAAACCCCAAATCCATTATAGTAGTTTCCATTTTCTTTTCCATTATCCCAATACAACCCCTATATATCTCGCACGCAAAAAGAGAGAGGAAGTGACTGCGGCCCCACATGAACCCTGCGGGGCCTGAGCCTGAGAAGCAACAAGACGATACTTCCTTGGGTACTGCCCCCACTCATTAACAGTTGGATAACCTTTATATTCTGACTATATAAAGCCTTTAATATGACCCCTATTATAGACTGTTAATGGGCGGGGGCAGGACCCAAATACTTCCTACATAAAGCAAAAATTGTCTTAAAGGTCTCCACCCCAAGAGCCCGACCCCCATACTCGTGACTGGTATTGCTACAGGTTCTAAGCTTTCAGTCTCATTCCTTAACTATTAACACCTCAGCCTCGAACCCTAATTCAACTCTGAGCCCCAAGCCCCAAATCCCTAAATCCCAAACCCTTAGCGCCATGCCGAGTCCGAGTGAAGCCCTGCCTGCGCCTGAAAACCCTACGTATTCCTACAGATCCCCATGTATATCCCCTTTGCCCTCCCCCACCCAAAAAATTCGCAAAATGAACAAACCTGCGCTTAAACCCGAAACCACAACAACACAGCGGCAGCTTGCGAAGCCGTTGTCGCACATACTCAATGGCGCCGCCTTGGTTGATCAAAGGACTTCCGTAACCCGAAAGGCAATACAGGTACTGGTTTAGGGGTTTAGGGTTTAGGGTAACGTGAGGGATTATGTGAGGAGTATAAGGGGTTGTATAGGAACTATGATCATTACTTAGGGGTTTTTGGTACCCCCCCCGATTAAGGGCAACACGTTTAGGGCTTTGCGTCTCAATTACGCTACTTGGGTTAAGGGCAACACCGTCTTTACACGAGTCAGGGTTTAGGATTCAGGGGGTTTTGTTGAGGGTCTCATGTAAAAAACCTCTTGAGGCGGGTCGTATGCAAAGTAGCCAATCTTCCTGGATGATCCTTTGGCTTAGAAAGCCTACCTACCCTCTCCAATACGGCGTTTGACCCTGAACCCTAGACCCCCTTTTCTGCAACAGGCTCTTGATGGATGGCGCCTGGATGTAGCCCGGGTGGCCGTTGCTTCGCCGAAAGCCTAAACCCTAACCCAAAATCCTGAGCCCAAAATCCCAAACCCCACAACCGGACCGCTAAACCCTACCCCCCCCTTGACCCCAACCCTCCAAAACCTTAAACCCTTAACCCAACCCTTTAAATACCTTGGATTACTAAGTCACGGACTCCTTGAAGTTGATCTTCATTTGCACAGTTTAAATTGGGTCCTGCCCGACCCATTAACAGATTATGATAGGGATCATTTTAAGGGCTAGATATAACTATATCATAAACATTATCCAACTGTTCATGAGTGGGGGCAATGCCCAAAGTTTAGACTTCGTAGGGTGTTGTGTGGGGGGGGCCTTTTCCGGTTGGTGAGGGGGACCAAGGGATAGCATACGCAGCACCCTGGTCCCGGCAAATGTCCAAGGTGTGGGACATGCCATAGACAGGTGAATGGCCGTCAGGTAGCGCAACTACAGGGGCAGGCTACATCGCGCGGCATGCCTCATTGACACAGCCAACGGCAGAAAACAGCTTAACATTATCACAGGCGGGTACATTCATTGCCATTAGTGCTGTTCATCGCACGGCAGGCTTCAGACAAACAGCTGGGCCAGCTAGGCCGAGAATCACTACAATCCGAAAGCACAAAAATCGACAGGTAACCTCACTACAGTGATTCACCACATCGCGCGGCTCCTCTCATTGGAAGAACCTGTCGACATGCTCAAAGGTGTGCGGCAAGCTGCCAGAACCTTTGCAATCCCGCCGCCGGAGGCTGCAGGACTACGGTCCTCAAGACAGGGTGTGGTTGATGGAGGCTTCTTTCGAAGATGCTGAAATCAGGTCAGCTGGAGTAGCTTGTGCAGCAAGGTCTCTCCCTACTTTGAGGGTGAGGACATTGGCAAGCTCAAGACCGTAATGGACTAGATCTTTGAGATTCACGAACGGAACTCTCTTGCCGAGACGCTGTAGAGCGCCTGTCACCCCTCCTTCTGCTTGGAAGAGTGGTGATCATACGAGGGCTTTTCAGGGGGCCCGATTTCAATTCGACCACCTTGCCATCTGTAGCAAGAAGGCTCTGCTCCGTCCTCGGGTGAAGGGAGATCTCCGAGATCCAAGAACAAGCCAATGTCGGCTGCTGTCATGGTCAAAAGCCATTGGAGTTCCCGTAAGTCAATAAGCCCTTCCCCCACCTTCTCAGCGATGTCTGCATAGGCTGATAGCACGAGCCCGCACAAGGAGCCCGCACAACCACGACAGCCAACGAGCCGACCCACACGGAAGAATGCGGCGGCAAGCAGGCTTCTGCCTCGGCCTTCCTTACACAAGAAGACCGGCAAAGTCGCCGTCGGAGAGTCTGTTCCCAACTGACGCAGAATCAATGCCCCGCCTTTTTCCAGTGGCGAGATCGCTGGAGCTGCTACTTCTGGGGCTGTGCTTAGAAGCAACATTTCGGCATCTTTAGCGCCCTCAACAGCTTGCTGAGCCACGGTCTCCAAAGTCTTGAAGCGCTTGCCGCCTGCCACCAGATACTTGTACCCGAATTGTAGAGTTGCCACACGAAGCCCAGCGGGTTCTTCAAATACCTGAATGGGGTGGCCATACTCAAACGGATTCACATTTTCTGAGAGGCAGCGCAGCAAGTTATTGCCAGCGTACGCCTTGGTCGCAGGCCTCACCTCGACTGAGGTCTCTACTGCTCTTGACCGGAACTCTTCTGCTGCTTTTTTCTTTTCAGCTCTTTTATCTACCTTTTTTTTTCTGCCATTTTGATTTTGCTGGGTTTCTCGGTCTCTGAGTCGGATCATTTCTTGCTCCATTGCATCGAGCTCGACCTCGGCAAGCTCGGCTTTTGGTTGAGGATGAAACCAGGGCGCTTCAGCATTGAACCCTGTGAAATCAGAAGAAGGCATCAGTGAGTATTCTTGCTGCCAACTCTCCTGTGTCCATTGGCTCGGAGGCCCGGAGCTGCTGGTGCCCATCGTTCTAATCCAGGCGGTGCCTCTACCCATTCTTGACTGCCAGTTGGGAGAGCTGGTATTGTGGGAGGTATCAAAATTTGGCCTGGAGGGATCCGATTTCTGACGAATTCCCAAGCTGACGGTCTTAGTCTAGCGGCAGTGGCTCCATCGAGATCCCGTTCATCACAGAAGTCATCGATCATCTCTCCTTCTGCCTTCTGTGCCTAATTGGCATTGGCCCAGCACCTGCATGAGCATGCCTTTCAGCATTGGAATGCTGCAGCCCGCAGATTCTGGCCAAGCCGAGACCTGAACGGTGAGAGAGAAAACAACTTCTCGATAGGACAGCCCGTGCGCATAGCTTCTCCACCCTTTCTTTTCAGAGACTTCGCTGCCGGAGGTAGTTGATTCTGACCCCGGCGCCGCGCCAGAGAGCTGCTCTAAATGCTTCCTTCACGTTGGGCACCTTGACCAGAGCCTGGCCTATGTGGGTAGCGCCGCCAGCATTCTCTGCGGCGATCCTAACCAATTTGAAGATTTGCGCCACTCCAGGCGAAGGATTCAGCGGCACATGCTCGAAAAGCTCCGACCAGCCGTCTTCTTCGTCTCGGGACATCAGTTCCTGCTTTGCTCCTCGAGCCAGGCAGGCAAGAGTGAGGATAGTCTTTTCGTCCTCAGTGATGGTGTCCTTTTTGCAAGATCTTAGTCTCTCTGCCCAAGAGCGTACGGAAGGTCGGCATGAAGAACTCCGCGGAGTTTGGCGGGTAAGCGGAGACTATCGCTACCACAACCTCTTCTTTCGCATCGACAGGCGTCTCTGCTTGAGATGAACAAGCAGGAACCTTGCGAAGCTCTGGAACCCTTGCCAAGGGATCATACCGGACTCTGATTCCTGCGAATCGAGAGTGTTGCTTTGCTAGAGTGTCCCAAGCTGGATACCCTGTGAGCGTTGCTACACCATATACGCTAGTAGAGCCGGTCTTGGCGCCGAAGCACCGGCATTGTTTCCTAGCTTCACCTAGTACCTTTTTATTTGCGCATACATGTGGTGAGAAAAGAAGTCGCTCCTTGATAGTTGGCTCGTGTGGATTCGACACAGTGATAGACCGAATCGGAATCTTGTACCCTGGCACCTCGTCGGTGTTTTCATCCTTCGGTTTCTTGAACGAGTTTCCAGGTCCCTTCTTCGGAGGGGAGATAGGCTGAACAATAATCCCTCCTCTGTTCGCCCATCTGATCACGGCATCAGGATCTTTTGAGATCTTCAATGAGCAGCCCTGTGACAATTCTACGACAAGATTCAAGAGGGACATGCTGTGGAAGTCCTGCTGCCTCTTCAGGGCAATCTGGAAGTCAGGAGCGTTCCCAATGGTTCGTTCTACTTTCTTGCGCCTGATTTGCACATCCAGAGTGGTGCCCTCCCCATGTCGTTGTTGGACAAGCTCGTAACTCCGTTCACCTGGAGGTGGATTTGGGGTCACTGTGAGACTCATCCCACCAGCACCTGCATCTTGAAGCTCTCTAAGCATAGCTGTCAAGTTGACGCCTGTTAGCCAAGATACCCAGCCATCATGCTCAAGAGTATCGAGATCCAGCCTAGCCGGTGAGGTGTCATCCTGCATCCGGTAGAACTCTGGTTCTTCACCCAACACATGTGGCTTGGCAAAACGTGGCAGTTCCGAATCCCGCACGTCTGCGGCTTGGCAAGCTCGAAGATATGCTGCCAAGGTAGACAGAACAACAGGCTTCTTCAACAAAACCCACCGCGCTAGATGTGCGCGAGAGTCTGCATTCGGAATGCGCCCTTGCGTCAGTTTAATAGAAGTGAGGACTAGCAGCATTGGCTTGGCTGGTTCACTTTCCGGCTTCAAACTTTCTTGATACGAGCATAAGCCAGGCTGCACTGAAATCACCTCATTCTCCCATGTAGATGCCAGGCCTATTGCATTGAACAATTTTCCGCTAAAGGCATCAATCCAGCATCGGAGAGACATGAATTGAGAGGTTTCCTCCTTCGTTGGCGGCCGGAACATTTCCATCAGCTTCCTTAGGAGAAATGACTACACCAGCGAAAATAGCGACCTGAGTCGCCTTGCCACCTGGCATAGCCAACTCGGGCACAGGATCTCCGAGAACGGCAGGCACAGTACGCGTCGGGTCTTCTTCGTCCTCACATAGTTGCCTGATCAATTGGTATGTGCAATCCAAAATGACTCCAGGGAAGCCACCCACCCATGAATCCGGAAGAGAATCACTCGTGGATCCAACCTTGAGACAGCCAAATCTCGCTAAAGACAGGCATCGAACACCCAGGTTTTCCAAGGTTCCCGAGTTCATGATGATCTCCCGTTGGTGGGAAGTGATTGCTTCTGGACCAACAATGACCAGTCTGCCCGCTTCGCGAGCAATCGCGACTCCATGATACAACTCACGGTTGCGGGGAGATTCAAACTTCACTTCTTCAGCCCCATGGGCTTCGATCTCCGGATCAGATTGAAGTGGAGTGACTGGTCCTTCTTCGCCATCGGCTTCTGGAGACTCCTCGTCAGAGCTTTCACAGCTACTGGAGCTTGACTTTGATGAAGAAGTCGCCTCAGCCATCACCCTGCATTCGCCCGCAAGCGAGTTCCACCCGGGAACGAGTATGCAAGACGGCGAGCCTGCGTGGCCCACTCATTCTTGAGCCAAAATGGCTACGGATTGTGTGGGGGGGCCTAAATAGTTAGACTAGGGCTTCAGGGTTCATTCTATCCTACATGTATACAAGAGTTGTTGAGGAATGTGGGGGCAATTTGGGGAAACCTTAGTTTCTATGAACCACTAAATAACTCCAGTTACCACTTCATTTTCATTCTCAATTCGACCCTCAACCCTGATCCCTAAGGTATCCTAAACCCTGAGCTTAAACCCAAATCCCTACACCATAATCCCTAAACCCTAAACCCTGATCCCTATTGCTAATTGTTCAGGCATCTTCTTGAGGGTGGTTTATCCTCAATGATGCGCGAAAGCCTTACTCATGTGGGGGTTTAGGGCTTGCTAGTTTGAGTCTATCAAAATGGTGGCACCGGCACCCCAAGGGGATATGTAAGGATGATAAGGGGAGAGGGGGTCCCCTAAAACCCTATAGGGTTTAGGGTTACGATTTAGGGTTTAGGGTTTGAACCCTAAACCCTGAACCCTAAGCCCTATCAAGGCTTTGGGAGTTTGAAGGGTTTCTAAGCATCAGTTCCGCCGAAGGAAAGACTCTGAGATGAGTTCTATTTAGCGTCCTTGGGTTTGGGGTCTTTGAGATAATGGAAAATAGAACGGAAACTGCTATATTATATAGGGTTATATAGGGTTAGGGTTTAGGGTTTCGGTTGAGCTCACAAGTCCCTAAACCAAAACCCTGAACCCTAAAACAGTAACCCGAAGCCCTAAACCCTAAACCCGTTAGCACCATTGTCTTGGTGGTACCTAGGGCCATTCTTACTGACTTCCCAGAGCCCTCAGCCCTCGACCCAGGAGCCAACTACAAACTGAACCCTGAAACACAAAACCCTAAATTAGGTTTTAGATGGGTTTAGAGCTTATGGTTTAGGATTTAGGGGTTAGGGTTACGTAAGCCTTAGCACTCACTCAGAATAGCAAAAGCCATCACCTGGCTGTCCAATGCATGTGTTGACCTGCGGAGTGTAAACCTCCTGGCACGAAAAATCCCAACCCCACACCCTTTGGATTTAGGGTTTAGGGTTTAGCGTGACACTGCTCTGGCCCCAGCCGGCCAGAGTCTCGTGCTTGAACTGGAAGTCCTTCGTCAGGCGGAACCAGTCCAGTCCTGATTTTCTTTGTGTTGAAATGACCGCCCTAGGCAAAAATCTCTTCTTCCATGATTAAACAACCTCCCCACTCCCAATGTGAAACACATCCCAAAAGCTAAAATATTTAGGGGACACTTGATATAAGGGGTTGAGCTTTCTGAAGAGCATGCTACAGTTTGAGGAGGGGTCAGTACTCAAAGAGCGGAAGACGGAACTAGCGAAGAGCAGCAAGGCACACATTCTAGCGCTGGTGAATAGAACTTTCAATCAGGCACGAAAAGCGGAAATTCTGCCTCGTTGATTCCTCAGAACTTTTAGCCGCTTCTCTACTTGGAGCGCCAGCGGACTTAATAAGTAGGTTAATAGCCCCTATAAGCAATATAATAAGGCCAATTCAGTGGGGCCAGGATTCCTGCTCCGGAAAGCCTAGGGCCTAGCGTTCTGGGCAGCAAGCCCTACCTTCCATCGAAACCTAAACCTCTACACCCCCAAAACCATCCACCAGCAATTGTAGAAGTGTAGAAAGTTCCACACCATAAGGCAAGGCCTCTGAACCCTTTTCCCAATGCGTGGGCCAAATGTGTTTTTGATTCACAGATTCGGATGAGCAATTCGCGGTCGTCGTTTTCCAGCTGAAGCTCCCGGTGTGGAAGTATCCACGTGTACCTCAGCACTTGAAGGACCACCACGTTCTAAGAAACAGCACCTTCAACATGACACTTGCCACAATCCCATAGAACTCAGGGGATTATCCCCCTAACAACTCTTTCACGACATCCCTAAACCCTAAACCCTCGACCTACCCTAAGCCCATGCAAACCCCATAACACCCGCCGCTTGAGCGTTGTCTAGTTGGAGGTTCCATGGGCAGCTATGATGTGGATTAACATATCGGATCGAGGATTTAGGGCCTCGGTCCCGTAAATTAAGGTGTATATCTAAATTTGACACCCAATGCAAAAGCACGTCTGACCCTGCTTGAAACCTTTCAGGATTCAAGTATGTCACCAGGCGCTTAGTTGAATTGCATTATTGACTCTAATGTCTTAGCCAACCCCATCCCAGAATAACAAGCCCTCCTGCCCTCTAATAAAAACATGTAATTATGTATGGGTGTGAAACTACGTGTGTGTATATATATATATATGTTCCCAATGTGGTACCACTACATAGCCGGGAGAATGTTGCGTACTTATTAGGGAAGTGAGGGATTGTTCATCCCTGTTGCCGAATTTCTGAAGCCAAGAAATTCTACTCTTTTCATTATAATGGGAATACAGGAACTCTACGCGTGTCAAGTGTACCGACCCCTGAAATCAGACGTTACACCTATAAGCCCAAACCTGAAACCCAAAACCCTGGAACCCTAGAACCCCATACCTTGGGTACTGCCCCTGCCCAGCAACAGTCTACGACAGGGCCATATCAAGGGCTATATATGTGTATGTATGGTCAGAACCAGGTATATATTTACGTATATATATATATATGTACAGAAAGTACCACATTTCTGTTTACCCGACAAAAATCACTTGAAAATGCGCTTTTAGCGGTAAAATATGGGGCCCGTACTGCGTGACACTCTCCAGACAGTGTATATATGTACACACTCATACCAGAACTATTCTCCAACTGTCACTGAGAGGGAACACTACTCAACCTATACCTCATACTCCAAGCCTCAAAGAGATTCAAGACGCCCCAATATTGGGTAGCTTGCCAAAATTAGGGTCCCCCTTATGTATCCCAATATACCACCATCCTTATCATGGGGAACCTCCAAAAAGCACCCCTAATTTTGCGAAACCCCAATTTGAGGGCGAGCTGCCAGTCTTCCAGCCATGCAAGACGTTCGTGCCCGAAGCAGGTCTCCTGCCAAAACCCGCGGTTTGGTTTTTTCTTTATACGGCGCCTTTTTCTCCGGGAGGCGAACAGCTTCATTGGTCTAGGGTGAAGAGGTTCGGGTGTAGGGTTCAGGGGTTTAGGGTTTGGAGCTTCGGTTTTGAAGTTCTCACATGGGCGCTTAGACTTTTTTGAAAATGGGCTTCGCGCCTACAGCTGGGCCCCAAACAACTAGAAGCCCCTGACTTGATGGAAAGATTTCCTATCTTGGGATACTAACTAATGTGCAGAGATTGGTTGTGCTCCAACAAACTACTCATTTCAGGTTGTCCGGCTTTTCAAGGCAAAGCTTAAGGTTAAGGATTGGGACCTTGGATTCTGGCTTTAGATAATGGGTTTATCAGGGAAGGGCTTGGACTTTAAACTTTGGGTTTAGAGAGTCTTGGGCTTAGGGTTTAGGGTTCAGGACGCTAGAATGTGGTTTAGGGCCTAAGGTTGAGAAGGTTAGGATACGGCACGGAGAGTTCGGAGGTTAACGTCTCCTGTGAGGGCAATAATAGTATATGGCACCCCAAACCATAACCGCCCTTGTAAACTCATGAGATTTGTGGAGGCTTCATTGAAGGTTCGGGATCGGGCTCTAGCGTTTAGGCCGCTGAATCTAGCCCTTTTGGGCGCATGGTTCGCTCAAAGTCTTTCAACGAACAAAGATCGCAAAAAAAATCAACAACTCAGAAGTGGCCAAGAGTCTGGAGATCTCTACTTATTGTTTCCTGTGGGTCGTCATTCAGACCATGCATAATCTAGACAACCTTGTTTCGTGCTCTGGTAAACATGTCTTCAATTGGCAGTCACATCCATGGGAGGGCACCCCCTCATGAATTACACGAGCGTTCGCATAATCTAGACAACCTTGTTTCGTGCTCTGGTAAACATGTCTTCAATTGGCAGTCACATCCATGGGAGGGCACCCCCTCATGAATTACACGAGCGTTTGCAAGAAAGCTTGCCTAGCCCACAGGTGTCCCACCTGTGCGGATAGAGATAATGGTATGCGGACAACCAAAGAACCCATCACCACGTTAGACACAATGGCTTTACGCATAAACGATGATGGTAGATCTAATCTCGACGCTATAAACCCACCAACCCCCTTTCTTGACAGGCCTGGTTTGCTGAAAGCCTGCTTGCAGGGCTTGTGGTGTAGGTTAACTGGCCAAAATAGTCACCCAGTGACCCGAAGCCCTGGGCAAGAAACCAACCAAGATCCCACTTAGCCACATCAAGCGAACTTACCTGAAGTTCATGATATGAAGGCTTTTTGCCTCAAGTAAACATGCTCAACAATGCTGAACTGAGAGGCACAAATCAAAGTGCATTATGCCTGCATACATCTTGGCTCAATTGAAGCCCTATGCGCGCATGCCTAGCGGTGGTAGGTAGCCCTCCTCAATGGCTCAAACACACACTGTGCAATACCTTGATTGTCTGTCAACCGCCATATTCCACAAATCGTGCAGCTTTGGAGGCTTTGGGGCCCTACCCCACCGCAATCGCAACCCTTCCAAATCTGTGTACGCCTCCGTGGGGTTGTCTTCGTCAGCACAGAACCGCATGCATCCACGCACCTCATTGGAATCAAAGGAATGTTCATGAAAAGGTTTGGATTGAGGGTATCTGCACTATCTTGGCATTGTTGGCTTGGTGTGAATTCTTTGGGACTAGGATGTGTTCCTTAAGCGCAGAGCCAACTCGGAAAAGGAAGTACAGCCCTTTGCGTAGCACAAGTGTTCCCATTACAAGCGTTGTGTGGGTGGGTGGGACGGTGGGTGGGTGGACATAACTTGGCTGAATTTGTGACCACACAAGACTCCGGCAAGCAAGCATCTGCCGCTGTCGCCGCCGGCACCGTTGGAGATGCAGTTGATTCTGCGATTGTTACGAATGCGTTGATTCACGTTCGAACATGGTTGTGATGCTACTATAACTTTTGGAAACTGGTCTCCGGAAGCGGGGGCAATCATAGGGCATGGGCATGGTTGTGTGTCACGCTGTGTCGCCCGCATGGCTTCTTCATGCCAGTGTTTTGTGTCGTCTCGCTTGTGTTGTTTTCGTCGGACCATGTCCTCTTGATCGGCCTCCGTGCTATCACGTCTCTCGTGTCGTCTCGTGACGCATCCCGAAGCGTGTTATCGCCAAGTGGCTCTTCGTGTTTTGTCTCGTGTCATGTCATGATGTTCCCACACAGTGTCTTCAGGTTTGTGTCCGCATTTGGTGCCGTCGTTTCTGTCAGCTGTGATTCCAAGTTTGGGGTCCCGGTTGGGTCTTGTGGGCTTCATGTCAAGCCTCGGGATATTCATACACATGCATAGCCGGTTGCAGATTGGGATCCCACATCAGGTTTTGACAGTTCTGGCTTGAACAATCAGACGTCGGAATACCGCAGACTGAAGCAATTAAACTTCCGAAAGCTTGCGACGTAGAAGGAGGGGCTGTCAGAGGCTACGACGATCCGACGATCCATGATTGACTGGTGCTGATGGGGTGGGGTGAGGAAGGGACTATTAGGGGTTTCTATTGGGTTATCATAAAGATCCAACTCTGTGTCCTCTCTCTGTCTCCTTTGTTTTCTCCCTGAAGCTCTCCCTTAAGCACCGGTACCATGATGTGCAGGTGCCCTAGGGAGTTTGGGGCAAAAACGGTCCCGTCAAACAGGAAACTTCAGGTGGATCAGTGAACAACCTGATTCTCCCAGCTTACGAGCAACATGGAACCTAGAAGATTTCGATTGAGAAGGAAAGTTGCCTTTGTAGAGCCCTTCCCGGGGTTCCGCATAAGTTTGCAGTAATGTACATGCTCCTAGTGACACATTGCAGTCACTGTCCGCCCTGGTTGCGGGCGTCAACATGAAGCATAGGTCCAGCCAATGCCATGAAACAGAGTGGTCTGTCTCTCTTATGGGATTTTACCTTCAAAGTCGCCTCTCGCCCAACTTACAGTACGTGCGCTAGCTCCTTCATGGAGTCGCTGTGAGATCTGAAAACTCAAGGAACGATTTACTCTCTGTGTAACTATCAGTGGCTCTGTTGCTTCACTACTGGCATGAGTGTGGTTCTCGTCTAATTTTGTCTACTTCTATGAAATAATCTTACACCCTGCGCGTATTGCGATCGGTTCGTTTGAATACTGAGGGCTCTAAGGAATCCAGGGTGGACAACCCCAACAAAGAGTTCGCTGCTCTATGACAAGCTGTTGGGACACCACTGACTTCAGGGCTTGACAAGCTGTGATCAGGAATTGGGGCTCAGCGACTCTAGAAACAACGCAATTCTTGAGTTGCACGGGTCACTTTGAGAATCTGCGCCAATATTTAGGGTAATTCCATCACAGGACACTGGCTATTTTTTGAAGTGCCTTCAGGTGCCTTCTTGCAGTTGCCTTCTCATGAATACTTTAATACCTGTCAAAATTGGTAGAATTGAATCCTGCCTTTGGCTTTTGGGCAGTCCTACCGCCATGACCGAATGAAACGACAAGATGGCCTCATGAGATTTCAAACGTCACATCACGCATCGCAACGCCGCGAGCATGAAGAACTGAGCCGTCTTTCCGCATGCCCCACTTTAAGCAAGTATGCCCCTTAACGAATGAGTCGCGTGTGATGGGACTAGAGAAGGCGCCTCCCATTCGGACACCAGACCTGTAGGGAGGAACTTCTGCGGAAGTCATGAAGGGTGCAAGTTGCCGCTTCCCTAATTGTAAATTGCCAGCTGAAGAAGCGTCACGGTTGCTCACATTACAAAACAGGCAGTCTGCACCACCAACTAGTTGGGATCCGTGCAGAATCTTGCAGACCACCTCAGCGTTTATCACCTGTAAGCCGCTCTTGACACCTCAGCCTAAGATATCGGAGGCCGCACAACATAAGGCGCGCACCCCATTGGCTGGACACTGGTGACCCAAGCGTGTCGGCAGCCATAACTCTGTATGATGATGTCCTTGCACGACCGTGTATATACCATCGGTCCCGCCTTGCGTTGTAAGCCCAACTTGGTGCTGCACACCATACTTATTTTGCTTAATAGGAAAATGTTAAGATACGAGTTAAATAAAGCACCACCATTAGCTGCTTGGACAGAAGACAAAAACCTTCTTTGGTTCTCAGGGCTCTTTGGGTTGAATCGAAAGTTACCTGGGAACCTGAACAACCAGAAATAAGTAGTTGTTCCCCCAAACCCTATACCGAAAGTCTACACCTAAGCCCTAAGCTCTAAACTCAAAAACCTAGACTTCACACCTTAAAGTCTTAACCCTAAACTCGCAACCCTAGACAGTCCTTGGAAGGAAACGCTGGGCTCACCTTCTAATCCCCATATATCTGTACTCGGAGAGTCAGGGCTGTCGCAACCCAATCTTTATGGACTATACCGGAGTTATATTGGGTGGGTATGGGGTTTCCAGAAGGGTATGTAGCCGGGGCACCTCCATTTTGACAAAGCCCTGCATATTGGGTCGGGGGAAGGACTTAGCAGGCTGATCCGGCAAATTCTGGTCAAGAGGTTCCACTTGTATTGATTATTAGTCAGGCCCCCTGCATTTCCCTTATTCGTCATCACCTTGTGCCGGTTAAGCAGTCTGAAGTATTGCTCCTATCTCTATCTCGATTCATTCGAGGTGTGCTTCAGGGAAGAACTCCTCATGCAAGTTTCAATGTTGGTTTGTGAGGAGGGTAGGATTGAGATTCAAAAGTCGGGTCCCTGAAGTCATGTCTACATCTGATAACGCGCAGGGTTTGGGCCTGGCGTTTTGCCAGGGGTCCATTTATTGTAAGTATGAGACTGTGTTTGGTGTGTTTCGATGGCGGCCTATTCAGTTTCAGGCACCTCTTTGCAAACCCACTCTGAGGCGCATCAGCTTTCAGGTCCTGGGGTTTAGGGTTTAGGGTTTAGGGTTCATCTGAATCCAAGCAATCGGAGATGAAGAGGCGTTCCTAAACGAACCATTTGTGGTAGAAACAAGGAGCATGAGTC